CCCCATAGTCAAACAATCCGTCCACAGAGGTCATTTAAGAGCATCTGAAAACCCAGATGTTTACAATATGAAGTAGCAACAAAAATATTATGACTGAGGGTCACCACAATATGAGGTACTCTATTAAAGGGTCCCAGCCTTAAGAAGGTTGAGGACCACTGCATTAGATTAACACCCAACTTCTCAATGGAGACTCTAAAAGCCAGAAGAGGCTGGACAAATATTCCATAAGCTCTAAGAAAGCACGGATGCCAGCTCAGACTACTACAACCAGCAAAACTATCAATCACAATGGATGGAGAAAGAAAATATTCCATGATAAAACCAAATTTAAGTAGTATCTACTTACTACTTCAGCCCTGCAGAAATTGCTAGAAGAAACACTCCATCTAATTTCCGACACTGCTTGGGTTGCCAAGTATCTGAGCCTAGAAGGGTAATGGATCTAGGGAAAAATCAAGTACTACTTTTTCTGCTATTGGAGCATAGTGATAAAATGACTTCTCCCAAAATTCTGCTATACCCATAGATCAGTATCTCACTAAGTTATCATCAGAGAAGCTTTCTCCTACAGTACATGGGAACTGATACAGAGACCAACACCTGAACTATGTTCAGAGGGTGAGACACCTTGGAACATTCAGTACTAAATGGGATGTCTCCATCAGATCCTTCACTTCAGTACTCAAGAAGAGTAGGTGGAAGACATTTAAGAGTCGGGGGGATGGATGATACCAAGGAAACAGTGTCTTCCAGACTCAATAGACTGATACACATATGAACTTAGACTGTGGCGGCATGCACTGGGCCTGCACAGGTCCAAACACGACAGAGTCTCAGAATTGATATGGAGAAAAAACACAAGCTCCCATCCCCAACCAAAAAGCTATCTCTAAATAATAATCACTAGTTTCTCCAAGGGAGTCTCACTGGGTATATAAACCACACATAAGGACAAATCCTATGCCCAGCTGCAGATGGACAATAGAGAAAGAACTAAATGATATTCTGGAGATTTTTTTTTGCATTACATATTGTTTTGTTTGGGCATTTTAAAATTTAGTTTAATTAATTTAACTATTTTCACTCTATTGGTATTTTGCTTGTGAGTTTCTGATTTTTTGTTTTCTAAAAGTGAAAGTCTATACTACAAATTAAAGCTTTTATATTACCCCTCTTAATGTTGTAGCTGATTCAACACTTAGCTAATTTAACACTAAATCTATGGCACTGAAGTACAAATAGTTGTATTGTAAAATGTCAGATTCATTATTTCTCAGCTACTTACTTTGAAGCTACTTTACAGTTATAAAGGCTTATTTTCATAATCCTCCTCAAAACAAGAATGTACTCTTTTTTCCCCTTTGAAATAAATAAGGAAACATGATTTCTTGCAGAGCCAAATAGGCAGACAAGCTCTTCTGGTGGAGCAGAAATCTCACCTGTTTGTAAAAGGATGCTCCATTTGGAAGTCAGTATTTTCATTTTAATGCTGATACCGAAAGGAAACGGGAATTTTAAGGTAAATGTGCTTTTTGTGTTAGAAACCTTCTATACAGAACAGAATGTGCATCCAACTAGCTGTAAAATTCCAGTGGCTCATATCTAATGTTCGGAGTTTCAAATTAAATGTTATATTACTTGTACTATTACCAAGCAAGTGAATACCTCTTTACTCTGGTAAATGACAATAGGACTTCCTGTCCCATTTCCTAAGACAAGGAGAGAGATTGCTTTCTTCTTCACTTTGTTATTAGAAAAATAAGAAAAGCTTCATCTATTTTTCTTCACTGATTGTTCTAATTCGGTGTCACTTCTAAATACCTGTAGACATCTGAAGACTCATTTCAAGGTAATTTAAATGTACTGCTTATTAACAGTCTAGGGTCGGAAGGTTCAGAACAGGTAGGAGGAGGGAATCAGAAGTTAAAAATGTAATCTCTCATTGTTCTGTCCTTTTGTCCATCTCCTGTTGATGCAGCTCTTGCATTAGGAAACAACACAGTGAAAGAGATTGGACATACTTTCCACTACTCTTTATTACTTTCCTTAGACCCAAAGTCATAATCAGGAAAGGGTGGGCATGCAGGCATTGTGTCCCTGGTGCCACACTCAAGAGTCAGATAAACATAGTTCAGCTGGCTTCGAATTTTCAAGGAACTTGAGAATCTCTGGCTGGCTTGCACCTCCCACCACTGACCCGGCTTCACTACAGTGTGGTCATCAGCTTATAGTTGCTTTTTCAAACTTTGGAGGACTCCAATCCCTGCCTTGAATCAATCATGGCCACCGCAGTTACCTTTCCTGTACAGCCAAGTTTTCCACTTAGCTTGAAGTGGTCACATCCTACGTGGGACTGGGCACAGCAATTCTGCTAGCAGGAAAGAAGGGGACAGTAGTGGAGCATTTCACAGTGTCCTTAGTCTGCCTTGTCTATACTAGAAAGCTGCTTTTGAAGGGCTTCCTGTTGCATTCTCAAACACAGCCTGGCTCCTTTCGTCAACCATTACAATTGTACTGGCATATCCTTTCTTAAATATGAGTCAAACTTCATGATTAGCTCTTCAGTGCTTAACAAACGAGTTCTAAGATAATCATGATATAGCCCTTTCACATCTTTCTAGCATTTTCTCTTCCATGTGGCCTCTTGGAGGTATCACTTAAGATTTATGTTTCAATGTGGCTGCAGCTTTGCTCTGTTTTCTGTTAGGATATCTAACCACCCCCCACTTTTCTATTCTTCCTTCTGGGAGGTTTCTCCTCCTTCTTAAAACGGATGCTTTGAAAGCCTTTTCTAAGTACCCTACCCAGCAGGCTCCAGTGTTTAATAGCATCTCATGAGAGCTCTTACTACTCCTCACGTTTCTGTTATGATTTATTTGTTTCATAATCCACCTGTCTTCTGGTACTAGACTGAACTATTTGAGATTAAGGACTGTCTGGCTCATCCATGTAGTTTATGACTCATAGGTGATGTTCAGCTTGTATAGTGTTAGTGGTCCAAAAGATGTCTTATTTGCTGCGTGACAAAAACTTAGTCCTGTTTCTTTGGAGGTCAGGATAAATGTGAGGGACTTGTTCTTGCATCTTGGAGTCTTAACATTTTCTGACTCTAACTTAGGAATACAATTCAGGGCTGCAGACACAATGCTATATAAACAAAAGTTATTTGGCAGAATTGACCCTGAGTGCTACAGAAATCTCACTGGCACAAAGCAAACATGATAACCACTGTACTTTAGAAGTGATTCACTGAGCTATGCCAGTAGTTTTTCTTTTCTTATATACCAGGCAGTTAGGTTAGCAGCAGCATTAAATCCTATGGACAGGAACTCACTAATCCAGGCAGAATGCTAGCTGGAAGTAGTCTGTCACAGAGCATCACCAGATAAGAGTTCTAAGTCATACACACAGCTAGGAATGAGTCTTTTGAAGATTGGTTTGAGCCTGCTCTGTACCTCAAATCTTTGATTTTGATATTCAGTTACAGTTCACCCATCCCAACACCTCCATATGGAGATACAGGAGGAGCCTTCCCCTTCCTGATTTGAAGGAAGACAGTGATTAAAACGAGATGATTAAACTCATACCGGGGAATGAGTGCATGGGCTGGGTCTATCACTAACACTCCATAGTTGTATTTGTATGTAGTGCTTCTGACCAGCATAGAACAAAGTTCTAATGTCAGAATTGGTTGCTAAATCCACACAATCACATGAAGCATCCTACATCAGTACGGCCTGATTCCTCAGCTCCCACATACAGATGAGACCTTCCCTGTGATACTTCATTTGTAGGATTTGGGACTGTTCATTACTTCAGTTGAAATCTTTACATCTGCATTAGGAGGCCCAATAGATAGTTAATTTTATTTTGTCTTGTTTTGTTTTTAAAAAGATCATATAGGGAATTAAATTCTCAGTTTTGAAAACTTACTGTGACCCACTTGTGGTCTAGGTTTCTGGGGATGGAGAAGGCAGGCTTTGTTTTGAATATGGGAACTGCTATTCACCGTTTTTCTGAGCTACCTTTCTTGTACTCCCCATGGCTATGAAGTAATATCCCATATCATCAATGCTGATTCCTTGAACATGGTCAGGGATCTCTGCTTCAGGAGACTATCTACTGGCTTCTGGGATTCTACAGTTGGCTTTCATTCTTGTGTCGTAATCTGTATTATACTTCATCTGAGAACAGAGCTTTTAAATTCCCCTATTTTTGTGACCTGCTTTTCTTTAGCACTTCCTAAACATGCCTCTTATTCAGCTTGCTTGCTGCAGAAGTACCGTTTGTTCTTGTCTTTCTATGGAATTAGCATTCTGTTACACATCATTCTGTTAAATTATTCAAGGAGCATGAGGGAGCAGAAGTGCACAGAAATGAGCCCTTGGCTTTTCCCACACAATTAGTGTGCCATCGGCATTATCAACATGTTTTAAAGAGGGAGAGGTCACTGTTTTTAAGAAGTCCTAGGTTTCCCATTTGCACACTATCAGCACTCCTCCTAATGGATTCTTCTTCAATTGTTTCCTGCTTTTACATGCTTGAGGAGGTGCCTGCTGTCTACTTTGTTACCCAAGGTAATTTCCTTTGTCTGTTTTTCTTCCTGTGATTTTACAGCATTCTCGCAACAAACAAAAGAAAGAAAGAAAAGGAAGGAGGGAGGGAGGAAAGAAAGGAAGGAAAAAAGGAAGGAAGAACAAAAGCCCTTCATGTCTGACTATATCCCTTCTTATACAGAACACCACTCTGGAGGGTTTTATAATTGACCCCCAGAGCATCATTTCATGCATGATTAGAATCTAAACTGGAAAGTGGTCCTCAAAGGCACAGAGAGCCACACCTGGATCCTCTCAGGCAATGGTCTCCTATCTGAGAGCTTTGTCTTAGGCTTTACATCCAGGGGCCCAACCGTACCTGAGAACGGATGTGTGAACAAGCATTCAGAGTGGTCCCACATGTGCCCGGTAAGGAAGTAAGGGCAGCCAGGTAGGCCGTACATGCAGCTAAGCAAGGCTCAGCCTTCGCCAGGGAAAGCTCTGGACTGCAATCACATCAAACCTACCACTGCAGGAGGCAGTGGAGAAGTGACAAAGGTCCCTGCTACTGCTTCCACCAGTCACTGTCTTCTGAAGAACTTTCAGCTGCTGAACAGACAGTAGCATAATGAGATAGTAGCTAATTCACATCCAAAAGTTAAATTGATGAAAGCAATTGGAGGGGACCTGGGCAGGCCGTTGATTGTCTTCTAATTAGAAAAAGGTCAGAAATTAAACGAGTACCTGTCCTTAGTTAGGGTTTCTATTACTGTGATAAAACATCATGACCGAAAGCAAGTTGGGGAGGAGGTGGCTTACTTGGCTCTCATAAACTTCACTCACAGCCCATTAACTGTCAATGAAAGAAATGGAGATGGAACCTGGAGGCAGGAACTGAGGCAGAGACCAAAGATGCTGCTTACTGAGTCTTCAACTTGAACAAGGCTGTCCTGTATCAGTCTTCAGTTAAAAAAAATAAAAATAAAAAGTACCACAGGCATACCCACAGGCCATTCTGGTGGTGCATATTTTCTCAAAGTTCCACTTCCCACATAACCTGAGTTTGTATCAAGATGACAAAACAAACAAGCAAACAACAAGCAAGTCACAATCTTAAAATGGGTACTTTTATTGTACTCGGTCTACCAACCACACTTGGTATTAACTGTCTCGAGGGTCCTTAACTACTTGGAAGATGATAAAGAAAAAAAAAAGCTCAGATCCCAGGTCAACTACCACGTTTCTGTGTCACCCCAGACCCTGGCTCACCTCGATGGATTTCATTTCAGCAAATCCTCCACTGGACTCTCCTTAGGGGTGGGGCTACAGCAACTACAGTCTAGACCTGACTCAAAGAGATTGACAGAGACTATGGTTCCCCTCCCTTGATGACAACGCAAAGTGCCCTACAGTTAAGATTCCAAACAGTAGGGCTAGAGAAATGGCTTATGGGTTAAGAACAAATAATACTGTTTTTCCAGAAAACCCCAGTTTGATTCCCAGCACATGTCAGGTAATTCACAACCATATAATTCCAGCTCCAAGGGAATCCAATACCTCTGGACTATGTGGGTACCAGCACACACACACACACACACACACACACACACACACACACACACACACACACATTATATACAGTAAACCATAGCATCTTGCTTCCTTAGTGGCTGACCCAAGAGGTCAGGTGTGCAACCAGGTCCTTTGGCCACAGGAAAATGTGGATCAGAGCTCTTCCTGTGATTCTAGGTGCTGTGGACCTTCAAGCTTTCAGCTGAGTAAATGGATGTTTGCTTCTCTGGTTGCCAAGAAGACAACCATCATCTTGCATCGATTTCCATTCTTGTTTCATTCCCTCTTCCTTTCACCCTTGTGTCTCTACAATCACACCTTTCCATCTTCCCCAGAATGCATCAGCATGGACTCATAGCCTGGTTTCCAAAACAAAACATAAATCTCAACCAATCGATCCTAAGGCAATAATGGTACTCCCTAGAAATTTAGATTTTCAGTATAATGTATGGATCCCCTATGTGGTAGAGTTCTGCTGTTAAACATCAGGGGAGATATTTGCATAAAGAGAAGGCAATCCTAGTCCTATTCTTTTGTTCTTATTCTGTCTAAACAAAGTAAATACTATTAAAATCTAAGTAGATGCTAAGGAGAAATCCCCAGGATGCTACAAAGAGTTTGCTTTCTGTTTCCATTTCTTTTACAAATTGGCTCAGTGCCATGGACCCTGTGGAGTGACAATGAAATTTTTAAAAATGCAGAGAAGGAAGTATCCTGGAATCTGCTTTTCCTCAAAGGGACTCAGAAGGTTGACTGGCCCTGAGATGTGTGATCCACAGCTCGTTTTAAGAACTGAGCTGCTGACTTGTCCAGCTGGCTGGAGACCAGTAACTGGCCTCATGTTGGCAATGCACAGGTTCAAGACTAGTCTGCCTCCAAGTGATGTGTGGCATCCTTGTCATCTGGTACTGACAGCTCCTATGGCTTTGTTCTGTAGCTGTTAGGATGAGCACAGGGCTAATTGTTCTCTCACCCTTATTTTGCAATTGTGGAAATGGCTTCTGCTTTCTCCTATGTCTGATTGCCTTTGGCATCTGGGTTCCTTTTGCTTGTGTTCTTTCCAGAGGCTGGTTTCTGCTTTCCTCCCTCACATCTGGAACCTAGCCAGAGTAAACCAGAATGAGTTGTTTCTAACATTTGAACCCTTTTGTAAGCCTGTTGATTGCAACTTGGGGACAACCAGTTTCATCCAAGGTAGAAGCTTTCTGCTGCTTTGAGGAGGGAAAAATAATAAATGTCTAAAAATAAAACCTAGGCATAAAAATAGGGCCAAATGCTCATTAGCTGCCTCACTTAGCTGAATGCTGAAACTATTTCTATAGTGTTAAATCAAGCTTTTGTATACTTTATTCATGGTACTTTATCTTAGATGATAAGTAGGTTACTGTAATTAGCCACTTTATTCAAAATACATGAATTAAATTGTCTCAAGGACCCAATTTTCAGCTCCTGCTTATGCTGACCTTTGGACTGGAGAACTTGTGTTCAGGAGTCTTTGGGAATTCATGTTACTAGCTACTGTGGGGGAGGTTGAAGGAAAAGTTGGAACATTGAGAGCTTCCCAGGTAAGGGGAAGAACTGAAATCTTAATCTCCGTGATGGGAAGGCACTGAGGGGTTTCATTAGGATAATGTCACAGAATGGTATATATATTTAAAAATTATGAGTCTTGACTGTTGTGTTGACAGAGAACTGTAAGGAAGCTGGGGCAGATAAAGATTGTCATCCAGATGTCTACTTTTAGATTTCATCGTAAGAGACAGCAGAGCTTTGGAGCAGACAGAGGAGTGGGACAGAAGGAGACAACAGACAAGTCTATGGGCTTCATACGGGCTTGAGGAACTGCAGAAACAAGCTTAATTTTTGGCTTAAATAACTGGAAGAATTTGGTATTGCTGACTGACTGGGGCGAACACTTGAGGGAACACATGATGATTTTAGTGTTCCGTTTTATTAGAGTGCAAAACAGTGAAAAGGGGGCTAAGGTCCACACCCCAGGCTCATGCTGGCCTTGGGATGTCTACAGAATAACACAGGTCAAAAGACCCTGGTTCAGTGGAGGACTTTCCAAATCCTTGGTTCCGATGGCATTCGGCTCCGTGTAAAAAAGGCACTCACATGCAGAGGGCATGGGTAGAGGAAGAAGAATGCCTGGGGACACTCCTGTTTCCACACAATAAGGACAAGCACAGAAGAACCAGAAAAGCACCAAGGGATCCAATAGAAGGGAATGCAGAAAAACAGTACCTTGGTGCCAGAGCAGAGAATTGGCTGGGGGTGGCGTGGGGTGGGTGGCTAGCTTCACCTGTGCTGATAGCACCCTGGGGGTCAGTACGATGACAAATGATATCAGATGGGAGTTCTTGATGACAGTGAAAAAGGCAAATTTTGATATACCCTACCAAAAGAAAGCCAGAGTAGATTAAGTTGAGCCTGTAAAGGGAAAAATGGAGATAGTTACTTAGTGAATTGTTTTAAGTATTAATGAAGTGAAAAATAGGTGCATATTCAGGTAAAATGCTCATACAGGTAATATATAAATAAATAAATCTTTAAAAATATGTGCTTACTAGTTACTAATATTCCAATTCATAGATTCTTATTTAGATATAGTATCTATTAAAACCTTGTACATGTAAATATATCTGTAGTAAGAAATACATCTTATTTTAATAGTAATTCTGTGTTTATTTTTTTAAGTTTTCACTTTACCAAATGTTTTTGCTTTGAAGAGGTAGAATCTGATAAACAACTTTGTCCTGCTACAAATGTTGACCCTATTTATATTTTAACATTTTTTGTCTTTGTTGCTCTTCTGATTTTTATGTTGCTATATTTTAATAAAAAATGAACAAGTTTCATAGAAAATGAACACATTTTAATAGAAAATCAGGAAATGAGTCAAGTTGAAGAAACTCTTCGCAAAAGTTACAAATTCAGTTATCTCCTTCTAGCCTTTAAAATGTAAAATTGAAACTATAAATTATTATGCTACTGGGTTTTGTTTAGATGGAGGAGTCTAATTTAAATTTGTAGAATAATTCTAATCATTCTAAAATTTGATATCTTATGGCACATTTAAAGCACATTTTGGATTGTAGAACTGCCAAATGATTCTTCAGAACCTTCCAGTGATTTTAAAACAAATTATAGGTTATTCTTAAAGACACTGTTTCTCAAAGAAGAAAAAATTAACTATAATCTCATCATTCAAGAAAATCACTTCTATTTTATGTGAAACTATGTTGTGTATGGACAAGTAACTAATCATCTATATTAGTTACTTGTCTATAACTGTAATAACATACCATGACCAGAAGCAACTCACCGAAGAAGGAACATATTTGGGCTTACAATTCCAGAGGGACACTTGTCCAGAGAGATAATTGTCCATCATGGTGGGGAGTCATGATAGCAAGAGGCAGGCATGGTAAGCAGAAACAGAAAGCTAAGAGATCATGTCTTTAACTACAAGGACAAAGTGAGGGTTAGGGACTGGAAGTGAGGCCAGACTACGAATTTGCAAAGTCCATACCCTATCCAGTGACACACTCCCTCTAGCAAGGCCACACCAAGTAAACAGGACCACCAGCTAGATTCCAAGTGCTCAAATACCCAGGACTATGGCCAATAATCCTCATTCAAACCACAGATACTATGTGTTGTCCCCCACCCCTATTTTAACAGCACCCTTGTGGTGTATGCCAAGGTTGGTGTCATTCATTAGCTGTTTTTATGTGTGATTATAAACAACCATAGTTATTATTGGCATTTAATATTGAATTCAATTTGGTTTTAGTCTATTTTACTATTAAAAACAATGTATTCACACTGTGGGAAGCTTTATAAATAATCCTATTGTCTAGAGTACCACTGTAGGATCACTGCCAAATCCCTATTCATTCAGCAGCCGTTTATCAGTGACTAACACACAGCACACCCCACTCTGAATGTGAAGTCCACCCTTTCGTGTTAACACTGCAATGGAGATTTGGTGGCGGATCCTGCTAGTGCCCTGTATGCAAAAATGTGTGCTTCAGACAAACAAAAAATAGGAGCATGGTGTTTAAAGTTGTATTATAAATGTTTTCCCTTATGCTACAGGAAAATCAATGCCACTGAACTCATATAATATTGTGTATAATGGCTATGGCAGATTATTTGTGTGAATGTATAATAACGTACTCTCCTGGAGTCAGATGCTGTCGTTCTTTTCAATCGTCTTCTGAAGTTACAGTCCATAACATGATTTTTTTCCCTTCTTTTCAACAGTGCAGTTAACATGACCTCCACAAGTCATGAAGGCACAGGACTGCTGTATTTCTTCTTCACTGCTGCACTGTACCCTTGCGGATCTCATGGTAAGTTCTTTTGTAACACAGGTGTCAGTTATTTGAATCACTTGAGATAAACAGTAGCAGAAAAAGTAAGTTGGACACAGATTCCACATGCCTTATCCAAACTGCTCCAAAAACTAAAACAGTATGGAGCATTGGTGTGACACTACATACAGTTGGGATATTCCACAGCTAACCTCATGTGGTAGTGAAAACACGGATGAAAAAACATAAAAGTAAAAATTACCAATAGGTTTTGTGTATAACAAGTACACAGAATATAAATCAATGGTACTTAAATTGGGGTCCTTTTCCCCCAGTCATCTGCTTATGTATGTTCAAATATTCTGAATCTGAACAAGTTCAAACCAGCTCTGATTTCATCTGTAGGGGACTCAGGCTATACCTCTGCAGCCCTGGGGCTGTCCTGAGTGATCACTTTATGCCTCAGCAGAATCAGCAGTCCAGAAGTATATGCAAATGTTAAAAACCACATTTTCTTCTATGTGTTTAAAGTTCTCTCTAATATACTCTCCGCTACTAACATCACTACAAAGGGATGCGTGACTGATACAGTTTCAGAGTAGAAGTTTGGTACCCAAGTTTGACAGATTTCCGAGGTTCTATCATTGACATTCCTTTCCGTTAACCATCATTAACATTTTCATTTTAGAGCATGCCATCCTGATGAACTATTTTCATAAGCATGGAATCTTAGAAGGTTTATCACATATAGATAAAAGAGCCAGCAATAATTAGCATCGTAGCAGAAGTGAACAAAAGTCCTTTACATATTGAGTCAACTTGTGCTGTGGAAGTTAAATTCAGAGCCTTCAGGTGAATACAGTAATGGGGCTGTCACACTGGCCAAAAACAAAATTTTAGACTCCTCACAGACTTAAAGAATGGTTTCAATTACACGTGCATTCTGTGTAAGTGTAGCATATATAATATATAAAATACATGTCTAATATATAATTGCAAAACACATTCTTTCTTATTGAAAATAATTTTTATACAATATATTTTGACCATGGATCCCCTCTCTCATCTCTTCTCACAACCTCCCCACTTTCCCACCCACCCAACTCCATGTCTTCTTCTTTCTACCTCTTCATAAAACAAACAGGAAAAGAATAAACAAAACAGAAATGACAACCAAAATAATAATAATAAATTAAATAAACAAATAAAAGGTATGAGAAACTCTTACACACACACACACACACACACACACACACACACACACACACATGCATTCACAAAACCCACTGAAAACAAAAATCAGAAATGGTAACATACAAACAAAAGACCAGTAAGCTTAAAAGAAAATGTTCAAACAAGGTAATATAAAACACAAACAAAGGAAAATTTTAAAAGTCCTCCAGAAATACCATTGAGTTCTCCTTGGGTTAGCCATCTATTGCTGGACATTGGGCTTGCCTTGAAATATGGTTTATATACCCAGTGAGATTCCATTGGAGAAAGCTAATGTTTCCTTTGCCAGAATTCTCAATTAGAGATAGTTTCTCGAGTAGTGACAGGAGCTTGAGTCCATGTGCACGTCTCAGCACTTGGACCTGTGCATGAATTTAGATGCTGCTATGGTCTCTGTTCCTCAGTCCTGATAAAACTGCTATTTAGTCAGGACAAATGGATACAGAGGGGATTATTTAACTGTTTGTTTGTTTGTTTATTTATTTATTTATTTATTTATTTATTTTCATGTGCATTGTTGTTTTGCCTGTGTGTATGCCTGTATAAGGGTTTTGGGTATCAGAGAACTGTAATCACAGATAGTTGTGAGCCACCATGTGGGTACTAGGAATTGAACCCAGGTCATCTGGAAGAACAGTCAGTGCTCTTAACCACTGAGCCATCTCTCCAGCCCCACAGAATGAGGAGAAGGCTTTTTAAGTAGCAAGATCATCCAGATGCTAGGCTCTGCAGCTAAATATGATGAAAACAGCCTTTACAGGACATTTTCCACTTGAGAAGCATATAAACCTTTGTAAATACGTAAGATATAGACTGAAAGTCACAGATACACAGCTCATTAAATGTACAAAAACCACTTTAAAACAGCTGCTTACAAAGCAGTCATTTAAAAGACTATAACCCAAACAGACTCTTGAATGAACCTTTACTTTTTTGTTGTTTTATTTGTTTTAACTATTTTCCTATTTATTCCTTGAGAATTTCACACAATGTACTTTAATCATATTCACTCCTCCAACTCCTCCCATATCCACCCTCTTCATTTCCTTACTCATCCAATTTGAAGACTAGAGACCAGTGATGTGTTGATCTATGGTTTTAGTAATATGTAATTAGAAGTTGTTTGAATACTGTATTCATTTAGCTGAATACTATTTTAGTGTATAAATATGTCATATTTTCATTACCCATTCATCAGGCATTGGACATGTAGGCTATTTCCATTTCCTGGCTATTGTTAATAAAGAAGCAATGAATACTGAAGAACAGATATCTCTGTAGAAAGACACAGTGACCTTAGAGCATCTGCATGATTGCTGTAGAGCTGGGACATGTGGTAGATCTATTTCTAGCTTTTTGAGGAAACTCCACACTGAATTCCATAACAGCTATACCAGTTTGCACTCCTAGCAGCAATGGGGAATAAATTTTCTCCTTATCCATGTCAGCATTTTCTGTCGTTTTATTTTTTAAATCTTGGCTATTCTGATTGGAGTAAAACAAAATCTCAAAGTAGTTTTAATTTGCATTTTCCTGATGGCAAAAGATGCTGAACATTTGAAAAAAAAATCTGTTTCTCCTTTTAGAAGAAATTTGTATTTCATCTCCATGTTTAGTTCCATGCTCCATTTAAAAATTCCAGTCTTTATTTTCTTGATGTTTCATTTCTTTGATTTATTTGTATATTCTAGACACTATCCTCGCTAAGATGTTTAACTGGTATTGATTTTCCTCATTCTGTAGGCTGTCTCTTTACTCACTGATTGTATCCTTTGCTGTACAGAAGTGTTTCGGTTCCATGTGGTCCCATTTGTCAGTTATCGAAGTGGAGCTCTAGAAGGGTAGGGCGGTGCAGGTATAGAATCAACAGTAACTTCTTTTGTTCTCTGCCATTGCATGTGCTTTTCTTAATGTAATGCCACATCTCTCACCTTTGCTTCAGAGACTCTGTCTCTCTGAGAGAGACAAAGCATGGCTGAGAGAAACATCCACAGGGGAGTGGACGAAGGGAAAAGGGAAAACAAAGCTATACCACTGCTCCATTTCTCTGTCTTAGGCAGTGCTGGCAAACATCTGAAAGGATTTATTCCAATGGCCGTAATAGATGGGGTCCTTTCTCCCCTTCATATCTTAGACTTCGGAGATGAACATAGGACCTACTTACAACTGTTGTCTTTAGTCGAAGAAGTGGATACTGTTTTCAAAGCTACCATGCAGTTACAAAATCCTTACTTGTGTATGAGTTATTTTGATTTTTGAAATCTTCTCACATTCACAACAAAGCAACAAACAAATCTTATAAATCAAGAGGATTAAAATTTTACATTTATGCCCAGAATAATATTTCCTGAACCTCGTTTTTTTCTGACTCGGAGTATTGTGAGTGTGATATTATTTGAATGTGAATTGCACCCTCCTCCCCACCCCCCCAGGCTCACATGTTAAATATTTGGTTGCAGCTAGTAGTGTTATTTTGAATGGTTCTGAAAACCTAGCAGGTGGGGACTGTAACACACTGGAAAATTGTCACCTGTTTGCATGAGGAGGGGCAGTGGAATGGCTGCACCATTAACTGGTTAAGGGGGAGGATTTTGTTGTGAATAAAAGAGAGAAGATATCCACAGGCTCATGCAAGATTCCTGAGCAGAGCAAAAGAGAAGTAGACTGCGCATGGTCAGGACTATCTATGAGAGACGGGAGAACAGCAGGAGAGAATAGTGGAGACAGCAAGAGAGCTAGGAAAAAGCTAGAGAGAGAATAAGGGAGTGGCTGGGTTATAAGGAGGATGAGTAGCTGAGGGTCTTGTGGGAAAGGTCCAGGAGACTACCAAGGACTTTAAAATTTATAATAAGTAGTTGTGAATGGGAACTGATGGAGCCTGGAGGCCAGCATGTGTTATGCAACCATATGCACATATCAATAGAGAGCCATAGGTCCTTTTTGACAAAGGTAAAGAAAATGACTCCTTTTGGTAGAGGGGAACTCATTCCCCACATTCTAGAGGGATGCTGGCTTTTATCTAACCAGTAGAGTCCTGTGATCCAGTGTGAGCTCATTTCTAGATAGATGAACTTCCTGAGATTTACCGATGTGCTACTCAAGCTTTTTTAAAGCAGGTTCTGAGTCTGTGGGGCCCTGCCTCATATAATAATCAAGCATGATTTTGGCATGCATCCTCTAAAACCATGTCCTGAGTTAGGCTGGCCACTTGGCTCAGGGAATACAGGTGGGGAGCAAACAAAAAACACATCAAAAACATTGTGTTCTTGTGAACAGCTAGAAGCCAAACCATTCCCTACAGACATTTTACTATTGTTTATCCCATGATATAAAAATGCCTCCAGTGGGAAGAGGAAGCTACAAGTTTATTGATGGGGAGACTCTCAGTTGGGAACTCTAGCAGTGATTTAATGGTGTTACCTTTGCTTACTCTCTCACTCAGGCTAATCTAGTTATTTTTGCTTGATGGTATAAGCACCTGATGGATGGTGTTTTGCTCTGACTTCAGATTCTACATACCTGCTGTTTGCTATTTGTTCTTTTACTCTTGCTTGCTACATACTTAATAAAGTCACCTAAATTGAAACTGAAAATATGGCTGTTGCAAATCAGTCTCCAGACTACACTGAACAGGCTCTTAGCTACAGGAAGTAGGTCATTGTGGATATCCTTACGAGCTGTAGCTTGCTTTTGTCTTCTCTCCTTTTCTCTGTCTCCTCTGCCGGATGCTTCTGCCATCATGATGCCCTGCCTTACTCCAGACCTGGAAACAATAGAGTCATCTAGGATGGATTGAACCCTCTGAAACAATGAGCTCAAATAAGTATTTCTTTCCTTAGGTTGTCTCCTTACAATGACGAAAAATCACTAGTACAGTTCTAAAGCCAAGTCAATTCATTATTTCATTTCCCTTTTTAGTCTCCTGCCTATGTAGGGCTCAGACTGAGAGTATCTTCCAGATTACTAACAGACTGTTGGACCCAGAATTTTAAATCCTCCGTATACTTATTGAGTCAGTAAAACCAATTTCTCCCCAGTTTCAGGGCCTTCTGGCTTTAGCAAGCTTTAAAACCTATTAATATTGCAGTGCATATCAAAGGTGAGTTCTTTCATATTCACTCTTACCAGTATTATGGCAGTGATTTAGAAAGAAATGGACTGTTGATCAAGTGGGTTACAAACTAATATGCTTAAGTCTTGGACAATTGCCAACCTCAGTTATTTTGACTCCATTCAACTGAAAGGGAAGATAATCAGTGTCAGGGTCTCCTGAGATATGGTCAGGCTATTCTTCTAAGAGGCAGTCTTGACATAAGCTCTGTCACTAACCCTCTTCACTTTGTCTCTGCTTCCCATGTTAGACTTGTTCTTTCCCGTCCTCTTCAGCCAGCTTGTGAATAATAATGAGCAACTTGTTCTTGGAAGATATGGTGAAGATGTAACTCTCCCGTGTCCATTCACAAGTGCATCTAACGTTGTAATTCACTGGAAAAACCAGGATAATCCTGTTCACACTTACTACAGTGACATGGACCATTTGGAAACACAATATCATAGATATGCAAACAGGACATCCCTCTTTCATAGTGAAATACACAATGGGAATGCCTCTCTAACTATCAGAAGATTGAGCCTTCTGGATGAAGGAATTTATACCTGCTATGTGGGAACAAACAGTGGACGTACTGACCTAAGAGTGGTGCTAAAAGTGGGAGGTAAGTGTGTATGTAAATTTTAGTAAGGCATACTGATATAATTTGATATAATTCTGAATAGCTATTTTCAAGTCAGTTCCTACAACTCTACTTCATTGTTTCAGTGCATTATTTCATATATAGTGCTCAATACATAATATCTCATAGTATGGGCATGCTGTGATTGATATAACCATTCTCCCTGTTGGTGGCTGTTCAGGGCTTCCAGTGGTTTCCACCACAGACTCTGTTGTGATGAATGTCTTTATAGTTACATAAGATGATGAAAAAATGTGGGAAATAAAAGTACCAGAAGTAAGGTTTTAATATTCCAATAATATTGGCAGCATAAGGACATTTATTTCCCTAGTAGTTCCATCAGCACTGAATATCATTAGTCTTAAATGTCTCTTCCGATACGGTGATGAGAAATACTGAATTATATTTAAGTTGACTATTTGTAATAAAATTGAAGTTACTGTTGGTATTGCATGATTTTATCCTCTCTGCAGCAACTCTAGCCATACGATGTGATTAATGTACTCATAGTTGCCAATGATTAAGTTTGTATTTAATTAAACTGGAATCTAATTAAAATTTAAGAAATAATATAATTTCATGCCCTATTCATAATTGTACTACCAAGACTTCTTGTTGATAAGGCATGATAATGTTGAGTATGCTTATCATTGACATGGTATGTTAGACACTATTCTTCATTTCATAGCCAATTTTACTGCTAGCGTGAATTTATTGTTAGTTCAGTTGCATTGTGTCATTTTGGATACATATACTGTTTTCATGAATATAGGTGTTCAATGTATTTTGTCATAAACAATCCCCATTCCCTGCTTCTACCTTCTCTTGGATCTATGTACCCTTCCCAACTTCATGTTCATTTTTTTTCTTTTTAAATAATCCACTGTATCTAAATAGTGTTTTCCATATATGTTTGTGTATGAGGCCAAAACTCTGCTAAGAAAAAGATTTATTTGGGAAGGAGGAATCCAGGAGAGTGGCTGCCTCTGCCACCGTGGAGATGGACAGATGAGAACTGAACAGGCAGAGAGGCTCATATAGGGCTACTTAGGAGCAGAATTCTTCCAGGGAGAAGATTTTCAGGAAGGGAATTGGTCATAGTTTGATCCCCTTGAGCTTGGACAAGCTCAGTTTGGCTGGTTTTCCTACTCAGAAATTGATTGGTTTCATGTTCAGTTGGTCAGGGACTCTGGTTTCAGACCCAAACTAATTCTTTCCCTAGCCTTTTTTTTTTTTTTTTTTTTTTTTTTTTTTTTTTAACCATTTTGGCTATATTTTCAGGACCAGTGTGTATTTCTTTCACTGATTCTGGTTTCATGGTCAAGGTGTGTTTCTTTGATTCTGGTTTCAAGGCTAAAGTGTTTCTTTCACTGGCTCTGGATTCATCATCAGGGTGCTAGATTTCATGCTGAGGGATTGGTTAGTTTTCTGCTCAGAGACTGTTTGGTTTCATGTTTAGTTGATCAGGGGTAGATTTGGCTCTGTTTTCAGGGCTAAACTGTATTTCTTTCACCTGCCCGTTTTAGCCTTTTGACTCTAGTTTCATGGCCAGGGTGTATTTCTTTCATTGCCTCTGGTTCCAGGGTCAAAGTATATTTCTTTGGCTCTGGTTTTGGGGTCAAGTTGTATTTCTTTGGTTCTAGGTTCCGGTGTAAAAAGTGTTTCTTTCACTGGCTCTGGGTTCAGAGCCAAGGTGTGTTTCTTTGGCTAGCCCTTGTACTCTCTCTACAAGGGGGGTTGTGACATAGATGTCTCATTTATGGCTCAGCATAGGTTTTTAAGACACAATACTATTACGGAACATAGAGTGGTAACATGTATTTGTAATTCTAGTACTAGAGAGGTTGAAAAATTGGGAGCTGTGGATTGAGGCCAGACTATACTCCATGAAAAGAACTGCTTACAAGGAAATAGATCAATTAAAAAGCTAATATATATATATATATGTATATATATATATATATATATATATTGTGTGTATGTATGTGTGTGTGTGTGTGTGTGTGTGTGTGTGTGTATGTTGTAGTCTAGTGGGCTGGAAGAGAAATCATATTTATCTGAGATACACTGGCAAGTGAATATGAGTGCATGTAAGTGTGTTCACAGCTAGGGTATTCTGTATAATAGAGCAGTAAAATATTGCATGCTTCTGGGAGATACCATATATTTTTTAAAATTTAATTCTCACTATTTCTTCCTCTGACTGCTTTAACTGTTTTGTATCTCGGCTCAGAATTGTATATTAAAAATAAAACTCAAATATGCTAAATCAGTAACTAAGGAGTCCAGAGCATGATGCATGAACTCTACAGATTTTGACCCTGTTTTCTTGATCCCTGAGACCACTAAGTTTGTCAGAGATAAGGTTCTGGAGACTAGTGATTGTTATTTGTTGTGTACCCATGCGTATTCTTTCTATTCTTCTGGAACAGCAATACCCAATCTGAAGCTTCTTCAGGTTTTTGATTGGAATTAATTTTTATGTAAATAAATGAGAGATCTTGTTAATAAAATTTAGCCTTTATTACATAAGTATTGGTACAGAAACTAATGGCCATAATTCTTCATAACTCACTGTTTATTTTGTGCAGCTTTCCACACACCTTTAATGAAATATGAACAAAGGAACACAGAGAGCTTTCTGGAATGCAGTATCCTGAGTGTTTATCCTCATCCACGTATCACATGGAAAATGGACAATGCACATATCTCTGAAAGCAATTCAGAAGTAATTGGGACTCTGGGTCCTTTTTATATTAAAAGTATGCTGAATATTACAGGATTAAACTCATCTTTTGAGTGTACTATTGAAAATTTACTTCTCAATCAAGCATGGAGAGGGAAGTGGACATTGGCAGGTAGTCTTCACTAGACTTTCTGTGTACAAGTGCTGTGTCAGGGGTGGGTGGGTTGCTTGGAATAGATCTGCAAAGGAAACAAAGTAGAAAAATAAACCCATCTGCAGAAGGGATAATTTGGCTGCATTAGTTCTGAGCGTCAGTTCCTATTCATAAAATAGAAGTACTTGCCTTTCTAAGTGTTTTCACACTGAATGAAGATACTGGAGATCCGCCCATAAATGTTTGTTTATCTGTCTATGGCTCCTCCTTTAAATAGGATTTCCTATCTGCACTGGAATATGTGTCTCTCAGCAGACCACAGCCCCTGATTCTCTCCAGCTGAAAGATTTAACTATTATTATTACTGGGGTTTAAACATTGATCTTTTAAAATACTTTTATTTTATTTACCAGAGGAAATACAATGCTATGTTGAGCATGAAGAAATCAGAGAATAATCTGTGAGGGTTGATTCTCTCCTGCCACCATGTGAATCCTGGGAACTGAACTCAGGTCACTAGACTTAGCAGCAGGTGCAGTGAGTGCTTCTTCGGGGTGGAAGAGTTAAAAATCCAGGAGCTTTCCACCCTAGAAGACCTCAATCCAGCACAACTCAAAGGTCTAAGATACCCTTAGAGGGAAACGTTAAAATAGAAACAGAGCTCTTCTTCTATGAATCTCTACAACACAGATATCAGAACTAGTTTCCTTTCTGTTTCTGTTGTTAGGTAGTCATTGGATGAATCAAAGTGAGTCCATTTCCCTCTGGTGTCCAGCCAGCAGCAATTTTTCTCTCCAAAATCAAGACTTCCTTGTTACTTGGTCCAGGGTAGAAAACGGGATATATTCTGTCTTGGATTGGCATCTGAACTCTTCACAGGACACAACTACTAATAACCCTCGATTCTCATGGAAGAAAGAGCTAAGAAATTACAGTGACTTCCCCATAACACTGAAGCATCTTCGTGCTTCAGACAGTGGAGAATACTTGTGTAATGTTTCTTTGACTGGGTATACATTACTCACAGTACACAGGCTGCATGTAGGTAAGTTGTAAATAGGACAGGCTAATGGTTTTTGGCTGTTGCAACAAAGGGTTGTTAAAACTTTTAAAAATGTCATTGTTGGAAATATCTTTGCTCATGGTAGTAGGCAACATGCCACCTTTTGATCAAAGTTACTCTCAGAAGATTACCTTTTCAATGTGTCTGTGTTTTGAAATGAAAATGTGTGCAATCTAGTGGCTCTAAGATAAGTACCTTCAACTCCTTCACTACTGTGTGTAATATAGTCTTCACAGTCTTGGTTTAGGAGGTGAGGCTGTAGGCACAGGGGAAGTTGGGATGCTGGGAAACAGTGATGTCTGTTAATTTGGTGAAAACGGTTGCATGGTGTTTGAAGCACTAAGAGTATGCCTGTTCTGCTCACTTTTCACCACCGTCAATTGCCATAGCTCTTTGTTTATAAAGAATGCTCCCAGTCCACTGACATGAAATTGGCTTTCTGGGTGAGATGGCTGTCCAGCCCCCATTCTATCACTCTGGCTTATAGGAAAGCCTAACAGTCCTCTTTCATCCCTTAATAAGGATATTCGAGAGTGTGAAAATTATCATGTGTTTCATGAAGTTTTAGTTGTCTCTGTGTTGTGGTTTCCAAAGAAAGCTTCTATGCTGAATGATATAGAATGAAAAACAAAGATGCATTTAAACTTTCTACTTTTCTCCCCAATAAGAGTGTTGGTTTTATGTAAAACGCAGTGAGGCCCAAATTCTATTTTTGAAACCATTGCCTTATAATGGATTCATTTTGGAGTTTAGAAAAACAATCAGGAAGTATGTGTCTGAAGGCTACATATGCCCCATCTCCTTAAGCAGAGATTTAGCATTCAGTTCATCCAAAGTGAAGCATCAGGGCAATTACAGCTCTATATGAGGGTTTTTTTTTCAGAACCTTGCATCCTCAAATATACTCTATTCAGTATGGTCAAAGAAAGTCTGCCCACATTCCCCAAGAAGAGGCTTGTAGCAAGAGTATCTTAGCAGGCCAGAAACCAGAACAAGCAGTCATGGTACTGGACATGAAGTTCTCACTGAGGCTTGGTTTCTTAGTTCTTCTTTTTATTGCCTTGACAAAGCACCTTGACTAAGGCAACTCATGAGAGAGAGCATTTAATTAGGGCTCACAGTTGTAGAGGATTAGAGCCCATGGCTGTTATGGCAGGGAGCATAGCAATACGCAGGCCAGTATGGGGCTGTAGCTAGCTGAGTGGTTACATCTGATCCACAAGCGAGAGTGGAGAGGACTTAGCTAACTGGAAATGGATTGAAATTTCAAAGCCTACCACCAGAGACACACCTCCTCCAACAAAGCCACACCTCTGAATCCTTCTCAAACAGTTTCACCACGAATTCCAATATATGAGCCTATGGGGCTCATTCTCATTCAAATCACCATATTCTACTCCTTATCCCTCAGAGGATTGTAGCCATATTGCAGTGCAAAGTGCATTCAATTTAACTTCAAAAGTCCTCCCAGTCTTTCAGTCTCAAAACTATTTAAAAGTCCACTCTCTTCTGAGACAATAGTCAAGACTGAAATCTAACAGGTCAAACACCAAATCCTTTAACTTCATGTCTGATGTCAAAGGGCTTAGATGCCTTTGCCCTTCAGCTTTGCTCACTCTCAAACTTTTAACTCTTTTGAGATGGTTCCACTCTGTATGTAGCAACCCCTGGATCTAGAAGTTCCAGCATCTTGGGGTCTCTAACACAATCCAGGCTTCACCTTCAGAGCTTCAGCCAATGGCCTTTCCAGGCCACCATACAGGGAGTCGCCAGCTATATGTCTGGTTTCAGAAATTCTCCTTTAAATTTTTTATTAATTTAGTCTCTCATATATTACATCCTGTCTGCAGTTTCTTTCCCTCCTCTCCTCCCGGTCCCCCATCCCTCCCCTTCCTCCTCCATTTCCCTTCAGGAAAGCACAGGCCTCTTAGGAATAGCTACCCAGTTTTGTATATCAAGTTGCAATAAAGCTAGACACCTCTTCTCATGTAGCTGGAGTTTCTTGTCCTGCCAGGTTCTGCTGCCCTTCAGCCCCAAATAACCACACAGAGACATATTAGTTATTACATTTTTGGTCAATAGCTAGGCTTCCTACTGGCTACTTATCTCTTAATTATTAACCTATAACTATTAATCTATGTATTTTCATGTGGTCTTTGGCTTACCAGAGAATGCCTGAGCCTGTTACTCCTTTGGTGTCTACATCCCTAAGGCTTGACAAGGCAACCTAGTAAGAAGAAAAGGGTTCCCAAAGCAGATGAAAGCATCCCATTCCTTCTGTTAGAAGGAATGTTAGAAAAAACATCAAGTTACATAACTATAGCATCTGCAGAGAGCCTAGGGTAAGTCCCATGCAGGCTCCCTGGTTATTGGTCCAGTCTCTGTGAGCTCCTATGAGTTCAGGTTTGTTGATTCTGTGGGTTTTCCTGTGGTATCCTTGATGGCTATCACACTCCTTTCTCCCCCTCTTCTAAGGATTCACTTAGTTCTGCATGATGATTGGCTGTGGGCCTCTTCATCTGTTTCCATTAGTTGCTGGATGGAGCCTCTCTGGATGGTGATTATGCCAGGATATCTTTAGGAATCATTTCATTAACTTTTTCCCCTTGGCTTATTTGGTTCTTTCCTTGGTCTCTGGTCCAGCCTCTGGTTTATGATTCCCCAGGCAGGGTCAGGGATGGGCTCACTCTCATTGCATGAGTCTCAAGCTGGACCAGCCACTCCCACAATTTTTGTGCCACATTTACCCCAGCACATCTTGCTGGCAGGACAAATTGAAGGTTTTGTGGCAGGATTGGGGTCCTAGTCCCGCTACTGGAGGCCTTGCCTAGTTATACGAGATGGCCAGTTCAGACTTGATATCACCTATTACTAGGAGTCTTAACTTGGGTCACCCTAATAGATTCTTGGGAGTTTTTATTGCACTAGATTCCCTACCTTTCCCTGGAATTGTTCCTCATGCCCCTGATTCCAGTTGTCTCTTCCAGTACTGTCTCCACCCCCCTGGTCCCTCTTGTTCCTATCCGCACCTGCTTCTATATCCTTAGGGGTTATTATAGGTCTGTATAAATAACTTATCTGATCTTGAATTAACTTTGATAAGTTGTATTTATCAAGAAAATTGTCCATTTCTTTTAGATTTTCTGATTTTATAGAGTACAGGTTTTTGAAATATGACCTAATGATTCTTAGGATTTCTTCAGCAGCTGTTAATATGCCCCTCCTTTCATTTCTGATTTGTTAATGTGGATATTCTCTCTCTTTCAGTTAGTTTTGATAAAGTTTTGTCTGTCTTTCTGATTTTCTCAAAGAACCAACTCTGTTTCATTGATTCTTTGCATTGCTCACTTTTTTTTCTGTTTTATTGATTTTGGCCCTCAGTTTGATTATTTCCTGCTGTCTATTCCTCTTGGGTGTGTTTGCTTCTTTTTGTTTTGGAACTTTCAGGTGTGCTGTTAAGTTGCTAGTGGGAAGATCCTTCTACTTTCTTTATGAAGACACTTAAACAACTGCTTTCATTGTGTACCATGAATTTGGGCATGTTGTGTATTCATTTTCATTGAATTCTAGGAAGTCTATAATTTCTCTTATTTCTGCCTTGATCTAGTGGTCGTTCAGTAGAGAGTTGTTCGATTTTCATGTGTTTGTAGGCTTTCTGTTATTTTTGTTGTTATTGAAGTCCAGCTTTTGTCCATGGTAGCCTGATAGGATACAGGAGATTATTTCAATTTTCTTTTATCTGTCAAGACTTGATTTGTGACTGAGTATGTGGTCTATTTTGAAGAAGGTTCCATAAGGTGCTGAGAAGAAGGTATATTGTTTTGTGTTTGGGTGAAATGTTCTGTAGCTATCTGTTAGGTCCACTTGGGCTATAATGTCTGTTAGCTCTGTAAATTTTCTGTTTAGCTTTTGTTTGGATGACCTGTTTATTGTTGAGAGTTGGATATTGAAATCTCCCACTATTAATGTACTTGTTATTTGTGTGATTTAAGCTCTAGTAGTTTTTCTTTTACAAATGTGGGTTCCTTTCTGTTTGGGGTATAGATGTTCAGAACTGAAATGTCATCTTGGTGAATTTTTCCTCTGGTGAGTATGAAGTGTCCTTCCCCATCTCTTCTGATTAATTTTGGTTAGAAAGTTATTGTGGTAGATATTAGAATGCCTACACCAGCTTGCTTCTTGAGTCCATTGCTTGGAAAAATCTTTTGCTAACCCTTAACTATGAGGTAATGTTGATATTTGGTGTTGAGACCTGTTTCTTGGATGCATCAGAAGGACGAATCCTGTTTTTGCATCCATTTTGTTAGCCTGTGTCTTTTTATTGTGAAATTGAGTCTATTTCTATTGAGAGATAGCAATGACCGAGTGATTGCTAATCCCTGTTGTTTTGTTGGTGGTAGTAGGGGTGGTGATTGTGTGTGTGTGTGTGTGTGTGTGTGTGTGTGTGTGTGTGTGTGCATGTGCGTGTGCGTGTGTGTGTGTGTGTGTGTGTGTGTGTGTGTGTGTGTGTGTGTGTGGTGTGTTTCCCTTCCTTTGGTTTTGCTGCTTTGGTTTGGAATTTTTCTTCTAGTATCTTCTGTAGGGATAGATTTATGGATAGATGTTGTTTAAATTTGGCCTGGTTATAGGATATCTGTTTTCTTCATCTATGGTGATTGAAGATTTGCTGGTTATAGTAATCTTGGTTGGAATATATGTTCCCTATAATCTGTAGCATATTTGTCCAAGCTCTTCTGGCTTTTGGGGTCTCCATTGAGAAGCTGGGTGTAATTCTCATATGTCTGCCTTCATATGTTACTTGGACTTTTTACCTTACAGCTTTTTGTATTCTTTCTTTGTTCTGAATATTTAGTGTATTATGGGGTGGGGTGACTTACTTTTCTGATTCCATCTATTTGGTGTTTCATATGTCTCTTGTACGAATCTCCTTCATTAGGTTAGGGAAATTTTCTTCTTTGATTTTTTTGAAAATGTTTTCTGGG